TAGTAGTAGTAGTAGTAGTAGTAGTAGTAGTAGTAGTAGTAGTAGTAGTAGTAGTAGTAGTAGTAGTAGTAGTAGTAGTAGTAGTAGTAGTAGTAGTAGTAGTAGTAGTAGTAGTAGTAGTAGTAGTAGTAGTAGTAGTAGTAGTCAGTAGTAGTAGTCGTAGTAGTAGTAGTAGTAGTAGTAGTAGTAGTAGTAGTAGTAGTAGTAGTAGTAGTAGTAGTAGTAGTAGTCGTAGTCGTAGTAGTAGTAGTAGTAGTAGTAGTAGTAGTAGTAGTAGTAGTAGTAGTAGCAGTAGGCCTCTGGGAGGCCTCTGGGAGGCCTCTTGGGTCGTCTGGGAGGCCTCTGGGAGGCCTCTTGGGTCGTCTGGGAGGCCCTGGGAGGCCGTGGGAGGCTTGCCCTTCCTGTTCCCGTTCGCGTTTCTTGGGTCGGCTAGAAGGCTTAGGGGGGGTAGACGGGCACGCGACCGGGCGGGAACTGGAACGGGAACTGGAACGGAACGGGAACGGGAACGAGAACGGGAACGGGAACGGGAACGGACCTATAAGGCGTTCTCGCCCTTTTACGGGGGGGTCCCCGGGTCGGAATGCCAACCCCCCGGAAAGTCCCGGGGCCCTGGAAGACCCCCAGAGGCCCCCTCGAGGCACCCAGGCGCCCCCAGGGAACCGCCAGGAAGCCCCAGCAGGCTCCCAAAGGGCTCCCCAAGCACCTCCAGAACTTCGTGGGGTTTCTTGGGCACCTCTTGGGAGGCCTCGCGTAGCCCCTGGAGCACCCTTGGGAGCGTCTGATCCTGACCTTACCGAATGCCTATTCCATCGTGGGGGTCGCCGTCCAGGGTCGGCGGCACTGGCCGTAAGACCTTAGCAACACGATCAGTAAGCTGATCAAGGTGAGATGGCGCAAAGGTATCCTTGCATGTTGGCATCCTTACACGCATGCTTGACAACGTACACATTCAAAGATAAACTCACGGCCTCGCTCGATCAGGATCCAGAGACTGAAACCAGCGCCAACAGGGTAATACAAGCTTGCTGTTGTGAGTCGTCACAGCCAGCTGGGCCTTCACCGGCGAAGCTGCGATTCAGCGCAAAAAAAAACTCGCATGGACATTGCTGGAGCCAAGGGCACCACAGAGTCGAGCGTCAGCGCAACTGCAATGTTGCAGTGGCTCTGCAGCGCACGAGACGGAGCTACTAATACGACCAGTAACCTGTCCAAGGTGGGATTGCTCAAATGCATCCCTGTATCCAGGCGGTAGTACACGTATGCTTGAGAATATGCAGAATGAAAGGTGGAATGATGGCCTGGCTCGATCAGGATCCAAAGACTAAAATCAGCGCCGATTGGCTAATAAAAGCTTGCTAGTATAAGTCGTCACCTCGAGATCTGGAAGTGTGGCCACAAGCTTCTAGCGAACTGCCACTGCACAGCGCACCTTGACGGTCAGAACAAATTGCTGGCCGAGACAACTCCCCAATATTGAGCCATCTGGGCTCGACCAGAACGAAAACGTGTGAAATCAATGCCGGCTAGACCAGCCTTTACGAGTATAGTTCAAGCTCATCACCTCGAGCCTTTTGCAGCCCCTCCCAATATCAACTGTTTACACATCACGCATGCGAACTCTGAGGTCGGAACGCCTATCCACCACCGCACCGACCGCACCTTGAGGTGTGTTCGAGAACCTGATGGCTGTCTAGTGAAATTCCTGCAGTTTCCCCTGGGCGCCCCGGCCCCTCACCGCACACTGTTCAAGAGCGTAGAGAAGGCCGCGCTACGACGGCTGCAACATGCCCCGAGACAAGCCCACGATCGCCGAAGACCCCCACATCCCCAGCCCACACCGCCTGGCCCCGACGGAGGCCCCAGGAAGCAACGCAACAACCATGCAAGAATACGGCCAAGCCGCGCTACAGCGTGGAAGCGCTGTCTCCAAGAAAACCCCAAGATGGTTCGACCGAACCTGATCGGGAGATCTCGATGGAACCGTCCCGCTTGAACAAAATGCGCGGGCAAAAATTAGACTGCTCCCATCGTTGTGATCACAGCCCAGTCGTTCGGTATTCACCAATGAAGCTGGGACTCACTGGCAACAACCTCGCCTCGTCAATGCAAGCAAGCATCGCCGCACCACGGGTTGTTACTGCCATCAGAATTCAGAACAGCAATGCCTGTACAGCAAACGAGAGGAACCTGAATACTACGCAGATGTCCAAGGTGGGATTGCTCAAACGTATCCTTGTATCCAGGCGAAAATACACGATGCTTGAGAATATGCAGAATGTAAGGTGGAATGATGGCCTGGTTCGATCAGGATCCAAAGACTAAAATCAGCGCCGATTAGCTACTAAAAGCTTGCTAGTATAAGTCGTCACCTCGAGATCTGGCAGTGTGGCCACAAGCTTCTAGCGAACTACAATCCCACCAGCCCTCTGGGCGTAGGTGGTCTAGAACAGATCCTCTTCCACCCCTCCCTCTTCCCCCTTGGGGAGGGGGTTACCCCTCCCCCTACCCCCTCCCCTGGACCTGGACGGAGGTTTTCGCGAGCGGTCGGACGGCTCTGGTGGCCCCAAGATGGCTTCAAGAGCGCGTCAGAGAGCCCAAGATGAGCTCCAAGATGGCTCAAGATAGCGCAAGATCGCTCGAGATGGCTCCTAAGATGGTTCCAAGAGGCCCAAAGACGGCCCCAAGACGGCTCCTTGTGGCCAAAGAGCTCCCCGACGAGGCCCCGACGAGGCCCGAAATCCTCCCAAAACCTGAAGAAAATCAATGTTTTTTGCGTTCTCGCCTTTTCGCTTCCGATGGACATCCGAGGCCTCAAAATGGCTCCAAGATGGCCCAAGAGGGCCCCACAAGAGGCCCAAGAGAGCCCCAAGACGGCCCCAAGAGCGCCCAAGAGCTCTCCAAGAGCGCCCCAAGAGCGCCCCAAGAGGCGATGTTTGGAGCTCCTGAGGGGGGAGGCTAATTAGGGAACCCCCCTTCGTTGATCGATCTCCTCCAAGATGGCCCCAAGAGCGCCCCTACAGCCCCCAAGAGCGCCCCAAGAGCACCCAAGAGCGCTCCAAGAGCGCCCCAAGAGCGCCCCAAGAGGCGATGTTTGGAGCTCCTGAGGGGGGAGGCTAATTAGGGACCCCCTTCGTTGATCGATCTCCTCCAAGATGGCCCCAGGAGCGCCCCTACAGCCCCCAAGAGCGCCCCTACAGCCCCCAAGAGCGCCCCAAGAACGCCCCAAGAGGCGCCCAGACGGCCCCAAGAGGCCAAGAGGCCTCCAAGAGGCTCCCAAGAGCCCCCCAAGAAGCCTCAAGAGGATCTCCGAAATGCATTTAAGACGCTTCTGGCTCTTCGGTTCGCCGTCCTCTTCAATTTATCATCCCCCTCTTCCTCCTCCTCTTTCTCCTCCTTCTCCTCCTTCTCCCTCTACTCCTTATCCTCCATCTCGTCCTCCTCGTCCTCTCCCTACTCCACATCCTCCCCCTCATTCTCCTCCTCCTCCTCCTCCTCTTCCTCCCCCTCCCCCTCCGACGAGGATTCCTTCTCCATCCTCCCCCTCTTGGGGTACGTGACAGCTTCCCCCGCCCTTTGTTATTCTGCATGCTCCCCGACTTCCCTGATCATCTCAACTCCCCTGGGCATCGTTTCTGGATGGGCTGGTGGGGATATTTTTTTGTTCAGCGGCCCGCAAGGAAGAGTCCAGAAGGCGGAGTTACCGAGGCTGGGGCACAGCGCAAGGAAATTGGCGCGAGAACGCGCGGAATGCACATGCAAAAACAAATTAGGAAGAGAGGCGGACTGGTGGGGATACTTTTTTTTTACAGCCGCAGGCGGAAGCGCCGGCGGCGAACGGTCACGGTCGGGCTGCGGCCGTGACGAATTCCCGGGCGCGCGCGGGGGCCGCGGATCAGGCGCTCGTGGGGATATTTTTTTTTTACAGCCGCAGGCGGAAGCGCCAGCGGCGGGCGGTCGCGGGCGGGCTGTGGCCGCGACTAACGGCGGGCGCGCGCGAGGCCGCGGTCAGGCGGCAGGCAGCAGCGTCCCAGGGCGTCAGAGCCAGCGTACAATCCAGGGAGTCTGCAGAACAGCCCCTGAACGAGACATGCAGCGGCGCATCCAGGGAGTCTGAAGACAGGCACCGAGGAAGCCGAGCGCAGCCAAAATGGCGCGTGAGGCGTTCCCAGCAGTTCGGATACGAACATGTAGGAACGGTCCCGAGGACGTCGATCCAGGGAGTCTGACGGGTAACACAGACTGACTGGAGACACAAGTCCAGCGGAGAAACCTGACGGCGGATCAGTCGCGACGCCAGAGCAGGCATCCAGGGTGTGGAAACATGTAGGCAGGAGAACCTTCCACAACTGAGATGCGTCAGCCCAGATCCGACGAGTGGGAGGGCGCGTAGTGTGCACGATACACGGTAGACCGCGTGCAGAATGCACATCCAAAGTGTCTCAGCGCTACCCATAAACGAGTCGGATAGCACCCGAGGGACGAGACCGTCGTATACCCAAGACGCGTCCCTCTGAGTCACTTCGATCCAGGGTCACGGCGGAAAGCCGCTCAACGGTTAAGAAATCCAAGGGGTGGGCCTGTGAACAGGCAAGCCAGAGTCCACAGACACGGCCAGGTCACGCCTGGCGGTGAAAGACCTACAGCAAGGCCAGAGGCCGCGAGTCCAACAGCGGAAGGGCTGTGGACGGTATTACCGAAGCGCGCACCTGAATCCAAAGGCAGGAGGTGCGCGCATCGGGAGGAGGGCGGCAGAGCGCCGCAATTGAAGGGGCCCGCGGCGCGGCCCAAGGCAGCGCCAGAGAGAATTTCAGGGTGTGAAACACAGCCGGAGAGGACCAAGGGAGCCTTGCGGCGAGAGGGCAGAGGCCACCGGTAGAGTAAGGCAGCGGGGCCAGTGGCCAGTTGGTCTGCAGGATGCGCGCTGTCACGCAGAGTGCAGATGGCATTACTGAGCGGCACACCATGGTCCGAAGGTAGGAGGAGTGCCGCCCAGGGGAGGGGGCAGTGGCGCTGCCCCACGGTTGGAGAAAGAAAGCGGCGGAGGGCCGCAAACCGTGCGTAGTGAGGTGTCGGTGGTGGCGCAAGGCACTGGGGGCGGGGAGAGAGCGGAGAGTGTGCTCAGTCTCTCCAACGGAGCCTCTTTTCGGCTCTATCGTCCCGATCGTCGGGGTAACCTCCGCTGCGTTTGCCACCCGTCTGCCAGCGATCTTCACGCCATCCATCACTCCACTCGCCCTGCCAGCTGCCCCAGGTGTCCCAGGAGCTTGTGGCGCGGTCACGCCACCCGGTCTGGTGGTAGCTGCCTTTGCCCCTGTCGTCTGTACGGGAGTGTCGCAGGCAGTTGGCTCGTAGCCTATCCCAGTCAATACCATAGCCCAGCCTCGTGTTCATCTGGTAGGCAGCATACCCGCAGTCCTTCCAGGCATCAAGAAACTTGTTGATGTCCGTGGCCGAGTGCAGTTTCGGGTCGGATTTTGGCGCCCTGGATCCAGGGAGCCAAGTTCGCTGCGTGTTTGCTGTCCACAGCGCGCAGAAGACTGCGCCCAACTCCGACTGAAGCCTGGCTACGCGTCTGGCTGGAGTCTCGTTGGGACGTTCGAGGTCAACTGTGCCCAGCCAGACTTTGTACATGGGGCCGCCCCCTTCCGGACAGGTCAACCGGTTGAGTGCATCCAGCTCCGATGTACCAGTGTGGCGAGGGTGATAGCGCCTCTGTCCAGGGAGCTGCGAAGTGGGCGCGGGAGAGCGCTCGGACCGCGAGCCACCTCGGCCGCGGGCTCTCTCGTCCCTCGCGGGATCCCGGGCTGGATCGCCACTGCGGTCGGCGTAGGGCGCTTCCTCCCCGGCTGAGGTCGCGGCACCCTCGCGGCCGGAGTCAGAGCTGTCCGCCGATGGGCTTTGCTGAGGCGCCTCTTCGCCTGAGCGATTATCATCGTCGTCCTGGGCCGACTCTGAGCCAGTAAGAGGACGAGGGGGTTCGTCTTCTCCGAGGTCGGGAGACTCCACCATTGTAGGGGGGATCCCGTCTTCCGCGCTCTCGTCGTTGCCGTTGTGGTCGGGCGGGTCCTGGTGGCCCATGCGCGAGTCGTTGTCCATCGTGCCCTGGGACCTGTCTGTGTCGGCAGCCATGGGAGTGTCTGGTCTGTCGTCGCCCATGGCCAAAACGCCTGTGGGGGGGGACTCGGCCAAGGAGGTGATTGATGCAGCGGCGAGGGCATCGGCACCGAGGCTGAGTAGGAAGCCCGTCAGCGTGCTGATCTCATGTCGGATGGGATCGAGGCCATTTGCCGGGGCCAGCGTCGCCGCATAGCTCCTCCAGGGCTCCTTATGTCTCTCGCCATTGGCCAGGTGTGCTATGACTCGCGCTGCGGCCACGCGCTTACCTTCCCAGCGCTGGTTGGGAGGGAGACAGTCGTCTGGAATGTGGTCACCATATATGGTCCTAAGGAACTCTGACA